TCTAACTCATTCACACACAACTCATCCAAATTACTTATATTTTCTCTCAGTCTGCATTTGTACTTGTCTTTCACATCTTCATCTTGTAACCTCTCAATTCTTATACGCTGTAACGCAGTGGTAGACACAGATGTCCTATGCCGCCAACGTCTGAATAAACCCCTAATTCGGCATAAGACCAGGTAGTGGTCCGTCCCTACGTTGGACCCCCCGGTAAACCCTTGTATCCACCACTGCGCTCCTCATTCTTTCATCCACAGTTATGAAATCTATCACGCTTCTATCATCACCTCTTTCCCAAATATACATGTGAATCTTCTTATGATGAAAGAAAGTGTTCGTCACAAAAAGATTCCTTTCCACACATACGGTGAGGAGGCTTTCACCATTCTCATTTATACTTTCATCACCAAACGTTCCCAATATCCTTTCATAACCAAGCCTCCTCACCCCAACCCTTCCATTAAAATCTCCTAGCATAATAATATTTTCATTTCCCTTACACTTCATTAACACCACCCTTACCATTTCCCAAAACTGCTCCCGGATATAAGTGGGCTTAGACATGTCTGGGGCGTAGACCCCTAACGCTAACAACTTCTTTAAGCCCACTTTCATTCGTATCCATAGCAGTCTTGGGCTTACAAATTCATACTCTTTCACACATTGGCCCATTCGTTCTGAAAGGATGATACCTACTCCCTGGCATGCCCGCTCGATCTCGTCTACACCAGATCAGTATGCGGTATACATGCCATGTGCAGTGACATCCTTCCCCTTCCTTTTCGTCTCATTTACACATAATACATCTATTCCTCTATCATACATCATATCGCATACTTCATCCATTTTATCATTCATTGCCCCACATACATTCAACGTAGCCAGACGGGCCTCTGCAATCCACTTTTCGCCTCTCTGGGAGACAGAACGTGACGGGTGGCGAACCTCGTCGCTGGTTTTCCTCCCGGAGATTCTTCGCACCCCTGCCCCATTAAAGGGGCGCCGGGAACTCGGGGCCATTTCTTTTACTTTATGCCTCATGGTGCCAAAACTAGGGCGTGGCATATTTTACGCCGCTACCACACGGCGAGTAGCCGAGTCTGTTCTTTCGGCTTTGTCGCTCTTTTAGCACCACCCGGGGGAAACGTGTAGGGTGGGCCTAGGATTAGGTGGTCGAAGCCTACGGACGCGAGCGACTTATCCCCCCCGCCCGCTCTTCAATACTATTATTATTATGTGTGGGGTATCTATATAGTTTTCTCACCTGGTTGGGATGTATAAATATATAATTATAAACGAAAATGAAAGGATAAATATACATAAATATCAATAAAATAAAATAAATACAAAAATACATAAATAAATAAAAGCCCAACCAGATGGAAGCCCTCGGCAGGGGAGACCAAACGGCCAAGGGTTAGGGAGAAAGGGAAGGAAACCGGTGGACGATGCGGGCAGTGTCAAGGAGCACCGCCTTCTGCATTTGAGCCCGGAGCGGTCCGTCACGGAGTCCCAGTCGCCTCAGATGACCAGAGAGGCTAACTGGGATTAGCCCATTCGCAGAGACGACTACAGGAATAATTTCGGCCGGCAGACCACCCCACATGTCGGTCACCTCGTGAGCCAGGTCCAGATATTTTGATTGCTTATCTGTTTCGGCTCTCACGAGGTTCTCGTCATACGGGATGGTAATATCGACCAAAAATATCCTTGACTGTGCCCGCTCCATCAGCAGAATATCAGGCTTATTCGCAAGAATAGTCCTGTCTGTGATGATGGCCCGGTCCCAATAGAGCCTGGCGCGGTCATTTTCGAGCACGGCTTCCGGCAAGTACTTGTAATACGGCAATTTCCAGTCCACGAGACCGTATTTCAGAGCGAGCTCCTGGTGTAGAATTCTGGCTACTAGGTTGTGCCTGTGCAAGTACTCAGAGTTAGAAAACGCCGGACAACCGGAGATGACATGCCTAAGTGACTCCCCGGGATGGCGACAAGCTCGACAGACGTCGACGGTGCCATCCTTTAGGATGTATCTCCGATAGTTGTTGGTCTTAATAACCTAATCCTGTATTGCACAGACAAAACCCTCGGTTTCCCCGAGGAGTTCACCGAACCTTAGCCAGTTGATGGAGGCAACTGTATCTACGAAGGGCTCATGTAGAGCCTTGTAGTACCTCCCGTGGAGCTCCTTCTCCTTCCATACGGTTTCCCGGTCGGAATTGCTAAGCACTGCTGGGTCCTGCCATTGCTCGTTGGCTAAGGATAGAGGGGTAAGCCCTTTATCACTAGAAATGACGTCATTATAGAATGGATCATATGATCTCGCCAAGAAGTACTGACGGAGACTGCACACTTCGCGATTATGCATGGTGAGCTCGCTCAGAAAGCTACGCCCACCATACTTTCGCGGCAAGTACAGCCTCATTACCCACGATCTCGGATGATGCATCCTATGGGACGTCATGGTAGTGCGGACTTTTCTATCCAGGGCATTAAGCTCAGTCTGAGTCCACCTGAGTATGCCAAAGGTATACATGAGGACAGGCATGACCCAGCCGTTATATGCGTGGGTCTTATTCACACCGGACAAAAGGCTGTTAAGCACTTTGGTCAAGCGTGCATAAAACACGTCGCAAACTGACTGTTTCATACCAGCCTCATCGATACCGATGTTCTGTGACATACCCAGGTATCGGTATGTTTCAGCCTCGGAAAGGATCCTTAAGTTGACGGGCATAGACAAGTCTATGCCCTCAGAGTTAGCAACCCTTCCCCTTTCAACATGGAGGACCGCACACTTATCCGTCCCCAGCTCCATTCCAATGGAACTGCTAAATTCACAAGTGATGTTTAGCAGTTCCATAAGATGGGAGCGACTGGAGGCGAATAACTTGAGGTCATCCATATAGAAAAGGTGGGTCACTTTTGTCCCTCCTTTCCGTAGCTGAAATCCCCTCCCGGAGCCCTCCAGTAAGGTACTTAGAGGGTTAAGAGAGAGGCAGAACCAGATTGGACTCAGACAATCGCCCTGGAAGATACCCCTTCTTATCCTTATGTGGTTCTCCGCAGCCGTCATCCGCTCGCCCAGATGACAAAGGATCGTACTCCACTGCCCCATACACTGCTCGAGGAAGTCTCTAACTGTACAGTCAATCTTGTACAGCTCGAGGACCCTCTTTAGCCATGTATGGGGCACCGAGTCGAACGCCTTTCTGTAGTCTATCCAGGCGGCAGAGAAGTTCCGACGGTTGCGTTTCACCACTTTGCCTATGACCGCGTCAATGAGGAGTGGTTCCTTAGTTCCACGACCACCGCCCCGACATCCATTTTGAGCGCGTAACATCACCTGGTTTAGCTCCAGGTGACGAGTGATTCTCGCGCTCAAAATGGATGTCAGTGTCTTATATATGGTAGGTAGACACGTGATGGGGCGGTATTTGCTCGGGTCTGTGGTATCCTGATCTTTAGGAACCAAGTGAGTGATCCCAGTAGTGAAGAGGCTCGGGAGTGACTTCTGGTCGAGAGCCTCTTGAAACTGTCGGGCGAGCACAGCGTGACACACTACGAAACCCTTCAGCCAGTAATGATGCAGCCCGTCGAGCCCCGGACTTTTCCAGTTCGGGGCCCTACGGACCACCTCAGCCACGTCTTCTGGCGTTATGGTGATGGGGTCCATAGGCGTAACACTCGCACCCTGGCTCGCCACAACTTCCATCCAAGGGCCCTCACTGTGGTTTACGGGCTCTGACCACAGGCCACGCCAGAATGCGATAATGTCAGCCTGATCCGGTCCTTGGCCCGCTCCACATAACTTTGGTCGCTCCAATAATTTATAGAGCCTCTTCTGATCACTCTGGAAGAGACGATTCTGGTTGAACCGTGTCGACCTCTCGGTATATCGCCGAATCCGCTTCCCCCAAGCAGCGATTTTTTGCTTCAGGTCATCTATGCGCTCCGTTAGTTTTTGAGTGATATCCGGCTGGAACAAACTGATATTTGTCCCAGCAAACGCCATCCTAACGGTGCGCATAATCCTCGGTCTATTATTACCCGACCTGAAGCTTGTCAGTCTGCCGATAAGGGCACTTGCCTTTGCGATACGGTCCTCGATTCTTTTCCTCCAGGCTGGGATGGCGTTAGTTTGTGTAGTAGCGCGTCCAGCCATGGGAAGTTTGGCGCCAATAATACGGCAAACTGCCACTGCGGCGCCAAAGAGAATCGAGTCCGTCTCGCAAAGGTTCCGGCTGGCTTCCAAATAGGTCACCAGCATTGGGTTAAGAGCCCTCACGCCAGCCCGATTTCGCTTGCTTAAGGGTATGCGAGGAAGTCGCGGTCGATTTTCGAGAGGGGTGCTGCGCGTTTCCAAAATCGCCTCTTCCAATATACTCCTCATTTGCTCTAGTTCGTGGGAGACTATTTCATCGTCGTTCAAATCAACCACAACTGAAAGATCCATGGCGGCTTCCACGTGTGGATGCTGGTCTGTCGAATGTGGAGCTGCATCTCCAGCCATAGCCGATTCATTCGACGACGGAATAGCCTCACGTCGTAGTCGTTCGAGTTCGGCATCATCAAATATTTTCGAGCGCATGATGTACCGAACTCGGTCTGCCAGGTTTTGTTCCGTGACGGGGATAGATTGCTCCAGCTCAGCAAAAAAGCAATGCATCCGAGACCTATACGCTATTCCCACAGTTTCTTCCCCTTTCGCCCTATAGTACGCCCGCAATGCGTTTTCGTTCATGGATTTTGTCCAACGCATGCGACGTGCTCCACCAGCGGCGGGTGCCGCTTGCTGGGTCCGAGAAGACCCAACCGACACCAAGCCTTCTGGTGGGGATGATGGATGCGAGGGCTGCGGTGATCGTGCAGCTCCTCGCACTCGGCTGGCGGCCCGCATGCTTGCATGCATGCATGCTTATTATTATTATTATTATTGTTATTTATATTTTCTACGTTTTCTCAGTTTGTTTTTAACAAAACTGGATTAATGGTTATTACCACGGGACAAAGCCAAGTGGATACCATGAACTTGTTTGGTTATGGGTAGTTTTCTGTAGAGATAAATTTTCTAACTATTCTACAAGTATTAAGTAAAACTGCTTTTTGTAATTGAATATATGTTATTTTTGGTAAATCTAAAGTTTTTAATGATTGATGAAGCGCTTTTGGTATTACACCAGTTGTAGAGAGGACTATAGGGACTATAATGGCGTTATGCAAATTCCACATTCTAATAATTTCATGTTTTAATTCAGTGTACTTGGAAATTTTTTCATTAATTGTTGTCTGTAAGTTATGTGAATTAGGTATAGCAATGTCAATAATAAGAGCACATTTATTCGCTTTATCTATTAATGTTATATCCGGTCTATTAAAGTGTATTGTTTTGTCAGTAAGTATAGCTCTGTCAAAATACATTTTGTGAGTGGTATTTTCAAGGACTATTTCTGGTTTATATTTATAGTATACTTGAGTTGGCTGGTCAGTTAATTTATACTTAAAGGCAAGTTTTTGGTGAATGATATTGGCTACTTGATCGTGCCGATACTTATAGTCCGTCTGAACAATCGCTTTACAGGCACCAGTGATGTGTTGAATTGTTTCTGAAGCATTACAACAGCGTCTACATGTGTCGGTATTTAAATTTTTTATTTTAATAATATGCTTTTGATAATTGCGTGTCTCTATGATTTGGTCCTGAATTGCGCACATAAAACCCTCAGTCTCAGGGAAAAGCTCACCACGTTGAAGCCATGCGTTCGACGCTAATTTGTCTACGGTAGGTTGGTTCAAATCATGGCGATGTCTTCCATGTAGAGCCTTTTGGGTCCATATGTCAATTTTTGTGTTGTTATCTGTAAGTAACTCATTTTTTTGCAATGTTTTATCATGCATATTAAGCGGTGTCAATTTATGATCATTCTGTACTATGGCATTGTGTAGTGATGATATTGCTGTTTTATCATAAAAGTAATTTCTGAGTGTAGTTATTTGTCTGTTATGTAAGTTAACTATGTCTATTACCTCTCTTCCTCCTTCATTTCGTGGCAATGTTAGTCTTTGTATGCATGATCTTGGGTGGTGTTTACGGTGCCTTGTAAGAGATGTATTTATTTCGCGTTGTAGCTTTTCTAGTTCAGTTTTGGACCAGTGTATTATGCCAAAGGAATAAGTTAGTATGGGAATTGCAAACGTGTTAATAGCTTTAAATATATTCTTAGAATTTAATTGAGATGTTAATACTAAACGAAGTCTATATCGAAACTGATCTGTTAATGTATTTTTAATTTCTTTTATGATGTATTTGTTTAGACTGATTATATCCTAAATACTTATACACTCCATTTTCCTCTAAAGATTTGATTTGCTGTCCTGTTTGCAACTGATAGTTATGTTCATAATACTGTCCAGCTCTTACTGAATTAATGTTGCACTTATCAATACCAAATTCCATTCCAATATCTCGTGAAAATTTTTCCGTTAATATAACTAATTGATCCAATTCATCTTGAGTAGTAGCATATAGTTTTAGATCGTCCATATACAAAAGATGACTAAGTTTTTTTTCTCCTTTGTTAGTATGTAGATGATCTTGTGTTGTATGGTATTGTAAAGAGTACCCTATGTTTTTTGAGTTTAACATTTGTGATAAGGGATTTATTGCAAGGCAGAACCAGAGAGGACTAAGTGCATCCCCTTGAAAAATACCTCTCCTTATTGCAATAATATCTGTTTCTATCATTCCATCTAGTGAGTTAATTTTAAGTTTCGTTGTCCAATTCGTCATCGCAGCCTGTAAAAATTGTATTATGTTTGGGTGTATTTTGTATATTTCTAAAATTTTTAATAACCAAGTGTGCGGGATTGAATTGTAAGCTTTCTTATAATCAATGTACATGCTAAATAAATCTTTTCTTTTTGATTGTACCTGCTTTAATACTACTGCATCTATTGTGAGCTGTTCTTTGCAACCCTGACTAAATTTCCTACAACCTTTTTTGTTCTTCTGACAATATGTTATTAGCTTCTATGTGTTCATAAATGGTTTCAGTTAAGCAAGATGTAATTATTTTGTACAATGTTTGTAAACATGTGATAGGTCTATATTTTGCAGGATTGTCAAGATTACTAGGCTCTTTTGGTATCATATACGTTATTCCTGAACGGGCAAAGTATCCGGGCTTTGTATGAATTTATTAACAAAATTAAACAGAATCGGGTGGATAGTTGTAAACTTTTTTATACCAATAGTTATGTATATTATCTGATTCAGGTGTTTTCCAATTATGCAGTTTTTTAATTACTTTATGGAAAGTGTCTATCTTGATGTGTTGGAATTGCATGGCTTTAATCTGTGATGTGTCTATTTGATTTTTGATCCAATCCGCTTCTGTATTATAATGTTTAGGTTCCTCCCATATTGTAGACCAGTAACTTTGTAATTCTCTCGGTGATGGTAAGATATTATTTTCGGAGCTTTTCAAACTGCTGATTTTATTTTTAAAAGGATTTTTTATATTACGATAGAAAAGTTTTTCATTTGAACAAAATAGAATGTTTTGAGTTTTTCGTAGAGAGCATGCTTTATATCTTTTTAGCCGACTACTATTAATTTTTAGTTTTTGTTTAAGTGTGTCTAAAAAATGTTCGTGTTTGGTGTTATGTTCTTCGTGGACAGAATGAATTTTATGTTGTTCAAGTATAGAATTTACGTGTTTGATTAATTTTTGACCTCGGTTTCCATTAATATATTGTGTTAGCCTTGCAATTTTTGCTCTTAATTCACTTACTTTGTTTTCTAATCTTTGTTCCCACTTTGGCTTATTATATTTCTTTTGTTTCTCAGGTCCTAACGGATTATCAACTTGTATAGCTATTTCAATTTTAGCTCCGTTGAGCTTAGCTGAAGTCCATGCTGCACAGTACACTAAATTCTGAAATGTTTTAAATTCAATTTCGCTGGTGATATATTGTGGCAATAAAATATTGTTTACATAGTCAACTATTTTACTCAATTTCTTTGATGACCTCTGCTTTGGTATAAACTGTCTTTCTGTTGGGTTTGTATTAGCAAAATATTCTAAAGCTTTAGCAAACATTTCATCTATGGCAATTATCTTTTCCCTATGTAAATTTTCATTTTCATTTGTTGTGTGGTTTCAGCATTTAAATATAAACTTTCTGTATCTGGTTCTTCGTTGTCTGTGATACCTATCTGAAGTATTGAGTTGTCATTGGCTTGTATATCGTTATGCTGTTCTTGCAAGTCATTCTTAATTGATTCTAAGCGGTCAACACTTAAATATTTCTTATGTAGAATTAATCTTCTTTGGTCAGCTATGCGTTGCTCTATTAAATGACTTAAATGGGGGAATTGGCATATAGGAAACTCTTGGTGTAAGAGTTTCCTATATGCTATTTTATTTTTCTCACATTGAGTTATTTTGTAGTAAATTCTTATTATAGCTTCATTATATTCGTCTGTCCATTTCATGCGTTGTTGTGTTTGTAAAGGGTGGGTATTAGTGTGTTGATTATTTTGTGTAACAGAGATTGATTGGGAAAATGTAGTCTGTAAATTTGATTGCACTTCATTATAAATTTGATTTACTATTTCTTGGGGCAAAAGTTTGTTATTCATTATTACTCTTCGCTGATCTCCTATTCTTTGACAAGTAACTTGCATATCTGGGAATCGTTCTATAAATTTCATGTGTAATGGTTGTAAATAACCTTTAGTGTCAGTATCCATTATTGTTAAATAGAGGTAAGTACGCAATATAAATTCATTCATTTCAGAAGTCCATTTTTTACGCGTGTTACGGTTACTGATGGTGGGCACAGTTTATATAACAGGAGTTATTTTCTGTGCATCATCCTTCAGCAATTGGCTACTTGATGATAATGAAGAAGATAAAGACTGGTGTGAAATGTTGGGTATTGATTTTTGTCTATCGTTTCCGGGGGTATATAAACTATCACTATCACTAAGGGTATCATCAGTGTCCATGGATCTCGCTTGAGTCGTTTGACGGGAAATCTTCCTCGCCCGGAGATTGTATGCGCCCCAAGATACAGCACCATCTCGGCTTCCGCCAGAGTCGACATGGTTACTGAATCTGCCGGGCACTGGGGGCCGTACTCGTGCACTCATTTTTTTAAACCTGGTTTGGGATCGTTAGTTGGGAAAGGGTCATTAAATATTAATAGGCATAGAGATTATTCTGCCTTGTTATTGTTACAGAGTATAGTTGTTCAGACTGCAATTGAGTACATGCCTTTCCCTTAAGCCCCCCCACCACGACAAGGTGATCCCGTAGGGGGGAAATGTTATTATTATTATTATAAATGTAGATTTATAATAATAATAATAATAATCCTTTATTGCAGACACAAAGATCCATATTTACAAGAAAATATAATATAGCATATAAATATATATAGCAAGAATAGACATATTGCAATTTATTTATTTATTTATAATTGATTACAACGGCTTTCGCCAATGACAGTAATTAATAGGTAAAACTAAACATATAACATAATTAACATATGTAATTCAAAAACAAATAACAAGTCAGAGATCAAACATACTTAACAATAACTAGAGGAAATAAAATAATATAAAACAGAATAAAGTGATAACAACATACAACTTATTTACCTAACAAACATGGCTTTCACATAACATGAGACAGTTTGACATGATCACCTTGAGTGTGTCATTAAAGATGTCACATTCCGGGACTGTCTCCATTAAGGAGTTTAAAGCACCAAACATGCGACACAACGGGGATTGCGCGCGCGATACAGTGCGGCAATGGGATGTGGCGAACAGCCGGTGTCGTCGAGTACGCCTATGACGCAGGTAGTTGTTAGGCACATAAAGTGTACACAAAGTATCGTGCAGCTCTGGGGAATCTACTATGCTCCTTAAAATTTTTATGGCTATTAGGATCTGATCTCTGGCTCTACGCGCTGAAAGGTAATTATATCCTAACATTCCCAGCAAGAAAAGAGTAGGATACATAAATGGATAATATACATAAATCTTCTTATATAAAAAACGCAGAAAGGCTTTCTGAACCTTTTCAATCAACAATTCATATGTGGATTCGTGGGGATTCCAGACGGCTGCAGCAAATTCTAACTTACTTCTAACTAGACAGTTAAATAATAATTTGATGACAATAGGATTATTGAAATCACGGGTATTGCGTAGGACAAAACCTAGGCGTCTGTAAGATTCTGAAGCTAGGACAGACATGTGTGCATGGAAAGTCAATCCGCAGTCAAATGTCACGCCAAGATCTCTAATAGTTGACACGCGCTTTATTTCAACATCTGCTAAGGTATAGGTGGCATTTGTAGGTTGTAACTTGCGGCTAAAGGTCATGACGTAACATTTTATTATCTATACTCCACTTATTGCAGACAGATCTCCAAATGCATGCGGCGAGACATACGCAACTTTAATACTGCTCGTATTAAAGAAGCGATCGAGCGGAACCAGGGCTCCAAAGTCTTTGCCAGAGATCTGTCTGCCCGTAAGAGCCAACTGTCAAGGCTGAAGACTGAGTGTGGCAGCATCGTTTCCGGGACACCTGAGATTTTGAGTGAGATTGAGAGGTTCTATGGGCAGCTGTACACATCATCGTTGGAGCCACACGCAAGTGTGAGTAACGATCCAAGAGCAAGTCTTATCCGACACTATTCCGATGATATCCCGGACGTCAGTCTAAGCGAGATTAGAATGGCTCCCAGCACCTTAAAAACGGCAGGGCCCCAGGCGAGGATGGAATTACAGCGGAGCTTCTGAAAGCGGGTGGAACACCGGTACTCGAAGTCCTTCAGAAGCTCTTCAATTCCGTCCTCCATGGTGGCACTACTCCAGAGGCGTGGAGCAGAAGTGCGGTGGTCTTGTTATTTAAGAAAGGCGACAACGCTCTCTTGAAGAACTACAGACCGATTTCCCTTCTGAGCCGCGTCTACGTGCTGTTTTAGAGAATCATTACGAATCGTCGTCACGCAGACTCGACGACTTCCAGCCTCCCGAACAAGCCGGTTTCCGAAAAAGGCTTCAGTACCATAGACCACATACATACCCTGCGGCAGATTGTACAGAAGACTGAAGAGTACAATTTGCCACTTTGCCTGGCGTATGTGGACTATGAGAAAGCCTTTGATTCCGTCGAAATTTGGGCGGTGCTGCAGTCCCTTCAGCGGTGCCAAGTTGACTGTCGGTATATCGAAGTGCTGAAGTGTGTGTACAGTAGGGCTACGATGGCTATCCGAGTACAGAACCAGAACTCGAAACCTATCCAACTGCAGAGAGGTATAAGACAGGGTGACGTTATATCCCCGAAACTCTTCACCGCTGCTTTGGAAGACATTTTCAAGATACTGGACTGGAAAGGATACGGTATTAACATCAATGGCGAGTACATCACTCACCTTCGATTTGCCGACGATATAGTCCTTATGGCAGAATCGCTGGAGGACTTAAGCACTATGCTCAATGACCTCAATAGTGCCTCCCAACAGATAGGTCTTAAGATGAATATGGACAAAACAAAGATCATGTTTAATGTCCATGTCACACCTATGCCGGTAGTTGTTGGGAGCACTATGCTCGAAGTTGTTGACGAGTACGTTTACCTGGGACAAATAGTCCGACTAGGTAAGTCCAACTTCGACCGAGAGGTCAATCGACGGATTCAACTCGGCTGGGCAGCGTTCGGGAAATTACGACACATCTTCTCATCAGGTATACCTCAATCTCTGAAAACTAAAGTGTACAACCAGTGCGTGTTGCCAGTGCTGACTTACGGATCAGAGACGTGGTCCTTCACTGCTGGCCGTATGAGGACGCTCAAGGTCGCTCAGCGAGCTATGGAGAGGGCTATGCTCGGAGTTTCTCTGCGTGATAGACTCAGAAATGAGGACATCCGCAGTAAAACCAGAGTGACCGACATAGCCCAACGGATTAGTAAGCTGAAGTGGCAATGGGCCGGCCATATAGCTCGAAGAACCGATAACCGATGGGGAAGAAAGGTTCTCGAGTGGCAGCCTCGTGTACCGGTAGGCGTAGTGTAGGGCGACCCCCCACTAGATGGAGTGACGACCTGGTAAGATTTGCAGGAAGTCGATGGATGCAGGTGGCTCAGGACCGTGCTTTGTGGCATTACTTGGGGGAGGCCTATGTTCAGCAGTAGACTTGTGAAGGGCTGTGATGATGATGATGATGATGACTCCACTTATGGATTCGGTCGATGTCACTTTAAAGATGTTCGGGAGTTACATCCTTATCAATCACTTGGATTAATTTCAAATCGTCAGCGTATAGGAGGCATTTGGCATACTTTACTACTTAATGAGATCGTTAACCATAATGATAAAGAGAAGGGGGCCTAAAACTGAACTGGCCTGACTTACACCTGAGCGCGTATGATATGACTTTGAAATAAAGGGTCCATGGCTAACGTACTACGTACGTACGTACGTACGGTACGTACAACTAACGTACGTTGAAAGGTAATCAGCAAAAATTTTTAGAAGTTTTGGGGTAAAACCCGTGCTGTATAATTTATTTAATAGAATATCGTTATCCACTACATCGAACGCCTTTTTAAAAATCTAAATATAGCACATCTACTTCTTAACCTTTATCCATGTGATGAGATACATAGTCAACGAGGGATAACAAGTTAGTCTCTACTGATCGACCCGGTCGGAAGCCATGCTGTTCCTCACAAAGCCGCGTATTTACCTGCGCGTATATTTCTTTGTGAGCAATATTCTCAAAAAGTTTTGCTGCGCACGATAGTACTGCGATAGGACGATTCTCTTCAACCAAGGTATTATTGCTGTTTTAGGTATCGGAGTGACTTTCGATATCTTCCACTGTTCTGGGTATACGCCGGTGTTTAAAGCCAAGTTAAAAATATAGATAAGTACAGGAGCAAGAATCTCCTTGCATCCTTTTAAGATGTAAGCTGGTACTTTATCTGAACCCACAGAACTAAGTGGTTTTAACTTATTTATTCCTGATTTTACTTGTGATAAGTTAAAAAAGCTTACGTTGATATGTCCATCGCATAACAAGGGAGTACTAGATATATTGTTGAAATCCAACATGGGACTATTGGGTAGAAACACATTAGCAAAATAATTTGCAAAGGCATCTGCAGCTTCACTATTGGAAAAACTACAGCCTTTGCAGGTCACAGTGGGCTCAAAGCTACCCTTAGTTCGAAGGCTACTAATATGATTCCAAAATTTTTTTGGATTATTCTTAATGCCATTTTCAACAGCTGCTCAAGAACTCAAGGGACGCATCGAGTCAGCATACAATGCCTATTTAGGCATTGTATGCTGACTTGATGCGTCCCTTGAGTTCTAACCGCAGTATGGAAAATGCCTTGTAGACATTCTGATTATTATAGCATTTCCATTCTATGTGGAGTTTAATTTTGCGATTTATATCTTTAATTATATCATGTGAAAACCAGACAGGATAGCGTTTCCTGTTTGAAGCTTATCTGCTTTTCTTAGGTACGCAAAGATCAAATATATTATATAATACTTCATAAAATTGACCAGTCGCAGATTGCACATCTGAGGCATTAAATACATAACCCCAATCCACTGTAGACATCATCTCATATAAAAGAGAAAAGTTAGCTTTATTAAAACTCCAATCAGAGGTTGTGTCAAAGTTATTAGGCTTAATATTTTCGTTACAAGTATTTGATAAGATGTTAAGAGCCAAAGGAGGATGGTAGGAGTCCACATTAACAATGCCCCCAGTGTCTGTACTATTTACATGCACTGCGCAACTAGAGCCCTTTACAAGGACAACATCTAATTTACCGCCAAACTTATTATAAACGTTATTCCTGTCAGACAAGGAACAAAATGAGAGGAAATAACCATAATAATTACATACATTTTTGGAAGCACTATTTAAATTAATATCACCAATAATAAGTACGGTTCCTTTAAGGTCATTTATAAAACTCTCAACTTTAAAAAACCAATCAAAATATACAGAGTCTGGGAGTTATGTACACTACACACACATAAACACTGCTCTTCCGGTAGGAAAATTTGCCCAGAGATCTTCGCCATTAAGAGTTTCAAACTCACGTACTC